GGAGGAGGAGGAGGAGGAGGAGGAGCTGGGGATGGGGAACCTCACAGACAGGCCTGGGTATTGGGCAAAGTTGCCCACCCAGTATGGAGGGCAAACTGGGTAAAACGTGGTGCAGGCCCAGGGCCCAAAGATGCGGTCCAGATTGCAAATTTGCACATGGGCCTGACAGGGGCGAAACGCAAAGAATTAGGCCCAAAAGGGCATTCCGCTCTACCCAGATCTTTTAGGGGCATTTTGGCATATATCTCAACTTATATAATAGGGGTATTTCGCAAATTATCCCTAAAAAAAAGAAAAGAAGAAGAAGAAGAAGAAGAAGAAGAAGAAGACAGGAGGAAAAAGGAAAGGTGAATACGAGATAATAAGAAAGGTGAATATTGCAAGTAATCCTCCACTCAGTGGCGTAATCTTTCTTTCTTTCTTTCTTTCTTTCTTTTTTCTTTTTCTTTTTTTTTTTATGCTGGAGAGAGATCCTTTGGCCAAATGGAAGGACGCATTGTGCGTGTGTTTTACACTGTATCATTTCTGACTTGCGGGTGTAATAGGAACTGGACTGATGCTCCGCACAATGGACAAGGAGCCAGGGACATAAGGGCCTGCTTCAACAAGTGCGAAGAAACCTCGGCATGCTGGAGAAAGGCCGTGCCTGGCCTAAAAGATGGCGGGTCCCGAGATTTTGGCCTCGGGCTGACTTCAGTCCGCACGCTATGAAAGTAGTTATAGGACTACATGACCATGGCGAGACAGTGCACCGTGGGTTGGTTGCGGCATCTCCTACCAACCGGTAGGGATCAACCTTCAGTTGGTTGAAGATGCTGAGTCCCAGTCAAACATGCTGAGGCCCAGGGCCTTACAGGTGAGCGCCTTGCTGGTACTGGGACAGGGGTGCAGACATTCCAGCCACGCCACGAGCCAGCCAGGACAAACGGAAGTGAGCCTTGCTCACTGGGGATCTTCTGGCCGGCTGGACGTGGCGGCGCTGCTGGAGCGCTACCGGTAGCTCGTGCAGACGAATGCCAGGCCAGAGGTGGATGAGGGTGCTGACCGGGTGCGAGGCAGCTGCTGCTGGGCGCAGCGAAGCAAGGAGGCTCAACAGCCATAGCCGGGTTGCTAGCGGAGGTCCTTGGGCAGAGGGGACTGTGGAGGAAGTCGGGGAAAGGGTGCGATGTGACGAAGCACTCACCTTGTGAAAGGGAAGCGGCCCGCTTACACGGAGTCTTCATGCGCGCTCATCGGGCTGATGATCTTCATAGCGGTAGATAGGAGTGCAGGCCATAGGAGCTGTCTTTCTGTAGTCTGGGCGCCTAGCGCCAATGTAGAAGAGCTACATTGTTGACATTGATGACGGGAGGTGAGAAGAGGGCTTTCATTATCGTGTGACTTCAATTTTGGTGTTTTATTGATTTGCAATCTGCTTTCAGTTCGTGCTCAGAGGTATCCAATTTCTGTGGAATGCTGCAATCTGTTTTTTTGTCATTTGCAATTTTGCATTGCTCATTTGCTTGCACAAGAAAAAAAAAGAAAAAGTAATGATCAAGCACGAGCAAAAAAAAGAAGGTAATGATCAACCATCTGGTCCTGATCTGGAAGAGAGAGGCTCACGATACGAGAGCAAACTACCTGTAGTTTTTGGAACGTGCTCTGGCAATCTCTGTATTACAAGATGTACCAATGGGACGCTGGACCTGGTTTCCAGCAGGTGCCGCTCCCCACCAATAGATGGAGCAGCCCGACAGATA